AAATGCAAATAGCTTGAAAGACATTAGTAATAATCCCCAATTGTTTTCTCTTAGGCAGTGCCAATGCCTTGAGGATAGACCTTTTATTTTCAATCAGTTTTGGCTGMCTTTTCCCTGTTATGTGTGCTTTTCTTTATGGCTGGGGGCATGTCTGCAGCTCCCAGTTCAGCAGTGTGGACTGGCCTGTGCTCTGGGCCACTGCAGCCAAGTGCTTCCTATATCTGAGCGCAGTCAAGTGATGCTCTTCTGCTGCAGAGCTGCCCCTCGGCTAAATCTGAACCTGGCAAGAAGTAAGATAAAAGGGAAGGAGTGATTTTTTGGTATGGAACAACGTTACCTTAATAACGGTGCCTGCGAGACTTCCCCCTGGTACAAGCTTAAGCAAATCCTGATGCTTCAGTCAAACGAATGACTTGCAAGGACACATATTTTAAAAGTGAGAGGATAGAAAAATGATCTCATTAAGCASTGGAAAAGTAACTAAAAAGGATGGAAGGTGCAGTAGGTAAATAGATGCATAATACTCTGGAGACACCTTGGAGCATTTCCCAGGGCTACAACAATGAGAGATGTAATCAGTATGAAACAGTAAATACAAATAACAAGATGAGCTGCAGGCTTTGTGAGAGGCTTTAAACCTGTTCAGAACAGAATCATTACTAGGGTCATACTGAGGTCAAAAGAGAGTGAAATGGTATTAAAAGATGATGAATATTAAGAACATGTACTACTAAAAATTCAGCTAGTTCAAAACCTGTTATTAAATTTTCCCATTGCCTCTTACTTAGCTGTACTTTCACATAGAAAAGAATGCAACTGTGTTGGCCTGATTTGCAGGGCGGTTTACTGTCACTAGCATTTGGGCAAAACAAACTTGTTTTAACCCACATAACATAATCCACATAAGAAGTGTGAGTCAGCCTTTAATGCCTTTGTCCGTGTCAGCTCCTTATAATCCAACAGCCATGGATTTCGAGAGGGAGCAAGGGCTAATGACATGATGTATCACAATTTAACTCTCTGAATGCAGCAGTAGCTTCCTAACCAGGAATTCAAATGCTAATACTTTGTGCCAATATTTGAGAAGATCGCTACTTTATTAGCATGTCTTTGCTTTCTTACCTTAACTTGCTCTTCAAATCACTGCTGTCATTGCTGGATTATAACAGGTACATAAACAGGGGTTGCAGAGCCAAGATTTACTGCCAGTAGTATTTATTACTTGCACTGGGGCAATGTCTACAGGACTTGGTCTTCAACCAGAACACCACTGTACTCGAAGCCATACAAATCACAGCCGTGCACCCTCCTCAGTTTTCAGCAGTGACTGGGTAACCATCTCCTCTGAAAAGTGAGACAGTTATTGAGGTGACCCAGGCACGCGCTGCARGGGACGATGCAAGGTGTGAATAGCTGTTCAGAGTAGCTAAGATTTTTTTTCTTTTTTAAACTGTGATTCCAGGTCACATCTAATTTGAACATATTTTTAGAAGGAAAACAATAACTAGGARAGAAGCTAGCAGGCTGTAATGGGTGGCAAAGGCCATGCTCCAAACATATAAGCTTTTGATATATTTCTCAAGTTAAATGAAAGATTCTGTAGCTTAATTACAGAATTTAACTTCATTAAATCTGTTAAAATAACAGTGTAACTTTTCAACAGCGGGGGTATTAATTTTTGAAGCAGTATAGGGGCATTTAGTTTCAAAGCCTGATGTAACTTGATTGAACCAGACAAATGAACTAAGTGACCTCTGTCTAGCAAGGTTGTAGTTATAGCTGGACTTACATCTAAGGAGATTTGTGCTGAAGCACACAAGAATGGCAAGTGCAATGTAAGAGCATGCTGAAATATTGTAAGAGGTGATACAACTTGCTCCTGCAGCAGGAGCAAGGGGTAAAAGCTGCTCTTGAGATCCTTCAGTGCTCTTTCAGGTTAGGTGGTCACGACTGATTTCTCAGTAGTCAGGTGTTCTCATTAAAATGCATTGCTAAATTTTAAATAAATGTTTTAGATTAGCTTAATGGCAATGCTCTAGGGGAAATGAATTTCTAGAATCACTTTGCAGGCACTGGACAAAACAAATACTGTCCTACATTTTTAGAAATGACTAGAGATTTCAAGTACCCTCAATATTTAATACCCAAAATTAGATGTCACTGGAATGACATCTAGGGTATGGAGTACTCACTTGATGAGAATATGGCTCATTTTTTAAAGAGGATTAAATTGGACATGAAAATGATCCACTTCTTTAGAAAATTTAGATCATTTAGAAAGAACAAGATTAGAAATTCTGGTCTTAGTTATCGTTTGCTCTTACGTTGGTGATCATAATCTTGTGTTTAAGCCATTTCTATTTATAGTTGCTCCTTAGCATAAAATCTGAAATACAGTGAAGAATTTGGAGGATCAAGACTTTCCTTTGGGGCACATCATTGACTCAAATGTGCCTGTAACAGCTGGGAATACTGGGACACATACCAAGATATACCCAGCAATTGCAAATYGGGCTGTAGAGGTCTGCTCTTATATAGGGTATGAGTTTCAAATATTAAAGCAACTGGGCTGGGACCAACCAGACAGAGGAGGAAGTGAAATAAATTTTGGAGTGATGAAATTATTCTAGACAACTTAATGAAAAAAGGAAAAAAAAAATAAAAAGAAAAGAGAAAAAGCTCAGATTTCACTGAGCCATTAAATGATTGATTTCTGCATGGAAGCACCCAGCTCTTCTGACAAGCCTGTGACAAATCTSTTTCTTTATTTTTCATGTGGAATTCTTCTTGACCGAACGATTAAAAGGGTTGGGGTGGAGGAAAAAGGACAGACCAGTTTATAAGCCCAACAGGCAAAGGTGAGGGGTTTTTTTTTGTAACAGAAAACTGGAGTASTTGGGCATTCATTTACCATAAATGCACTGTTTGCACAATTCAATTTTGTTTAATATTCAGGTTAAATKGATGGTAAAATTGCATTACCAGAAAGAGCAGGTATACTTTAGAGGAAGGCCTGTCTTTTGTTTTCTTTAAAGCCTTGCAGATACCTAGTCAACTCTTTTCTCTACCCCAGATTATTCCCCTCAAAATAAACTGTGCAGGCCCCCTTGAAGGCTCTAGGTAGGGGTGAATTAAGATAGTTCAGCAAATCTTTGCTGACTTAAGTCTACAACAACTTTTTGCCTCAGAATAGACAAATAAAATGAAGGCTTGWCTCAGAATCACAGTCGTCTTAAAACATACATCAGTTAAGGCTATAATGGGAATGCTGGGAAAAAAAAAAATATGTATGCTGTAAATGAAATCCTAATTCAGAAAGGGCTCATTCTGCAAATCGCAGGTTCTAGCTGAGTTTTGCCAAATGTTACCCAATTGCCTCCACTTCTGAGTAACTGTGTCAAGAAAGGAACCACCCCAGCAGCGCCCGTTGCAGAGGTCTGTGGCTTTCACTCAGTTCCTGTGGATTCAACGGCAGAATTAATTGCAAAAAAAAAAATGCATGTAATTGGATTAATTAACAGTACATTTCAAGGTCCTGAAATACAGAATTAGCCACAGGGGTGCATGCACAATGCAGGCTTTCCTGAGAACAGAAAAACAGCGTTATTTTGGGAGCTGTATTCATATTCCAGTGAGGTACGCCTTGCTGGAAAAACTGCTCAGCTAAGGAATGGGGCTTTGAAGAGAGAAGGTAAATACTATAATTAGGGTTGCAGGACAATAAAAGGATTACTTTTAAATATAAAATCATATGAGCGAAGTTGTATGAAAGATAATTATACCTAAAATTGCCTGTACAGGATCTAATATTTCCTTTACAAGGACATATAAGACTCACTGAATATTTATGGACCTTGAAAATAAGACTGGATGAAATTTAAAACCTAAATTCAATTGCAATTTATTGTGCTGAAATTCCCCAGCAGTTGTTGCTCCAACCTTTTAACCCTGATAGACAAGCTTCATATTGCAGAACACAAACACAGGCACATGATAAATGATATCAAAGCTGAATGCCCTTGATTGATGAACACTGCCTCATTTGATAACTAAAACAATCCTCAGGGCTCACTATATATGTTTTTTTTTAAATGCATATATTGCAGAGAGTTGTTTGTGCTTCTGGTATGGTTATCGCATGCAAATAAGCATGCTGTTTCCTAGATGCAGATTTCATATTTATAGATTAAATAAAGACTGAAAAAAATCATATGCTAATTATATCCTCAGGGTGCAAGCGAATGTTCCACTTGCAAATACTTGGTTTTGCTGGAAATAGTGCAAATTCAGGTTCATTGTGTTTAGTTGCTTGAAGCTTAGTAATAAACATATCACATTTTAGAGAAGCTTTCTAATCACCGCAATTCTAATTATTTGCCATTTYATCAATGCTTAAGATTCTTTATCCTTCACTAGGTTTGCTTATTTGTTTTTAACAACCTGCACTTTTCGGAAGATGATGGATAGAGTAGAACTTTGGAAAGGAGCAGAACCCGCTGCAGAAAGCTCCACAGCTATGAATGATCTCATTTTTATTGCCCATATTGGTTCCATACTCCATAAGGCATGCTGAAAAATCAATACCACAGGAGTTCCTCCTTTAGTATGTAGCCAACATGGATCAAAGCAAAGACCAGGATCCCCTAAGAGGCCTCACTGGTTAGTGAAAGAAATACTGATCTGCATGAGAACAGCAACAACTACCCAATAGGCTGAGATGCAAGTGTGAGTTTATAAATAAATCGCTGGTAGCCAGGTGGCCCTTAATTCACAATTAAYGCAGATTTATTTACGTTCTAGAAGGCTGAAACTCCAGAAGTACTTGGGCAAAAGTACTGAGAAAGRCCTGCAACAATTCTCAGATTTGAAATGAGGATAGTTTTTACCTGGAGGAACTGATACAATAACACTCATGTTCAATAACACTCACATTATTGCAGAAAATGCTGAGCTGAAACACAGGACAATAAAAGTATAAAAGTAGGGGAAGTTTTAGAGAAGTAAATGTGAGATATTAAATTCATTTTTGCTTACTGTCCCACTTGTTAGAGCTGCAAAGCATCAATAATCAGATGCAAAGCTTAAAATACATAATGAACTTAATTACTACTATTGAGAAAAAAATCAATACAGCCCTTGACAAAAGCCATTCAAATCTACAGAAAACTTCTTGGTGATTCTCACAGATCAAGCCTATAYAAAATAAACACTTTTACAATAGCAAGTAGATTAAAATATGACATTCTTATTTCTATAAGTAGCAGTCCTTAGATATGCAATTATGGATTCAAAGATATTACTACTAAGCTGCCTAGAATATTGTTTAGTTAGGACTTAAAACAGAGGTTTATTAGAGCTTGTAAATAGGTTGCCACTTTATGTGTCACATAAAGAAATCCACAAATAGCAGCAGCAAGTACAGAGCAAGTGGAAAATACTTTTTATTCCTTCTCTCCTTTTTTATAGCTGTCAGATATCTTTGTAAATAGGGGACGTACAGAACTACGAAAGACCAGTGACTAAACTAAGAGGTAGTTGACTTCAATATTTCCATCTGCAAAGAGATAGTTCTGCAGAGGGTAGTACTGTCAAGTTCTGCAATCTGGAGCTGAGTACAGAGCTTAAGTGCTCGCTCTGCTCCCAGAATCCAAAAGAAAATGCAGGTTTAGCATTGCTTGGAAACATTAGCTTACCTGAAAAAAAAAWTCAAGTATCTACAGGGAGGTAAAACCATATGTTATTCACTTCAGTATATTTCCTCAAGCATCAACACTTTGGTTGCTTGTTGGTCCCCAGATCATCATGTCGTCAATGCAWAGACATGTTAATCTTATTCTTAAAAAAAAGCTTTCACCTTGATAATCTTGTACTCTGTAGATATAACAAACCTTCRCTTTGTGAATGTACGAGGTTTGTTTTGCAATATTATATGTGCATCTAATACATCTGTGCATCTAAACTGTGCAAAACTGAATACATTTGGGTCAGTAAAATTAGAGGAAAAAAAAAAACAACAGCTACTTCACTGCAGACTTCTTAGGATGCAGCACAACKGCAACAACTGAGATCAGTTCTACTTGGCTGTGTGCTTACCTGCACAAAAAGAAAAAAAGAAAAAAAAAACAGTCCTCTTTTGGTGGCTTTACAACTTTTGAAGTTTTGTGACTGCTGAATAGATACATTTCTCCCTTGAGATCTTACAGAATTATACTGGTCTGCAATAAGTTGGTACCTTACAGACAGTGTGTTGGCTTGGGTGAATTAGCTTGATGCCGTGGGCCCCTCTTGTGATGTTGGTATGTTTGAATAGAAAAATGTCTGTCCAGCTCTCTGTTCTAAAAAGAAACTTTCATCTAATTACATTTCTATCATTGAAGTACTTGATACAAACTGCTGGGTATCAGCTTTGGTCTTGCAGTTCACTGGAGTCTTAGGACAAGATTCTGATAGGTTTTTCCTTCACATTCCCATGAATGGTGTTTCTTCACATAGACCTTTGCCTTTCTTACAATTTCTGTTTTCATAATGGGGTCATTCATCAAACTCTTAGACAGCACAACAAACTCCTAAAAAAGATAAAGAAAAATAATATATTAATAGTTGCTTGAAATTCTAATGCTACTGACAGCGCTTATATGCATAGCTTGCAAAGCACTTCAGCTGTGAGCCAAGACAGATATAAAGCTGTTCAAAGTCATTTTTTCAAGGTCAAGTACCATAGTTTGTTTATATACAACAATCAATAAATAATTATTTTATATCTTTTACACAGCCCGCCAACTTAGAGATTTAAAATCAAAGACAAATCTCAAGAGCATTGAGGCAAATCCATGCAGCAAATTTAATGGACACAAAAACTGTTTGCCTACTAGAATGTAAGAAAAAACAGACTGGTTATAAATTAAACAATTCCCTGGGTCTCCTGCATGGAGGACAGCTGGCATCAGATTGAAGTAAGCTCTGCTAAGCTCATTGCTACTGAAACATCTTTAGTTAATTGTATAGTAAGACTAAAAAACTCACTTCCACAAAGACAGTTATATCAGAAAGTTAGGACCATGCATGCAGCAATGAGCTTGTCTGGACTTGTCAGTTCTGGGCAGTTACAGATCCAGGAGTGTTTCCTTAACAAGCTTTGCCAAAAARTAAAGCAACAAATGAAATTCCTTTAATGTTATTGGGCAAAATACCAGACCTGAAAGACTACAGCTATTCCTTTGTTTGTTCCTCTGCCAGTCTAATTTAGTTTTAGGGAAGTGAAGTTGTGAACATCAAACATGTGAAAGGAGATTTGATGTCTGGACTAATCTATTCTGAACAGCTGGTCTAATTTTCTATCACAAGATAACATCCAGTATTTCATCTTGATCACAAATGTGCTCAAATCTTTGAAAATATTGTCTTGGTTTAGCTCAAAAAAGCAAACAGCTAATGGATCAATGAAAAATTAAGATACTTTACTTTACACAATTGGTAGTGCAGCTCAGTGACAGATTTTAAGGAGCACATGAGGAGATAAAGAATGGCCAAAGCCGATAGGTTATTTTCATAAACTGCCAGCTACGAAAGGAAGTATCACAAATAAGAATAGAGTTATATCACCACTAGGTTAACTACTAGGTGATACTTAAAACTCAAGTACAACTTGCTTATAAAGGTGTACAAAGAAATAAAACCTTTGCTTACCACAATCAATATGGAAGCTGTAAGGTAAGCCACATTAATACATAATACATCACTATAGCATGACCCCACAAAAACACTGCTGTATGAAATCACATTGAACGTGTTATAGTCACTTGACTCCCACTGACAAGATGAATTGTCAATAAATACTTCAGTGCCATAAACTATAGGTAGTCAAAAATACAATCAATTTTGTTAAAAGGCATATAACTAAGTTACTCTTTCTACACAGAACTGATTTTGTAAGATATTTTTCTTACATGATATCAACAAAATGTTGTATTTTTTACATGAAATCAGTATTGCATTCTAATCTTCACAAAGATTTGTATGGCTTGTGGGTGCAMGAATGATAGTCCTTGTCCAATGATCCAAGCACGGGTTGCATCCCACACATATCATTTTTTTTCTATGCCTGTTTGAAAACCTTTGATGAACCTAGTATCAGTTATATTGCTAACTACTTACATCCTCAGGATTCACATCATCTGAGGAGGATATTTTCTGGCTGTGCTTATAAGACTTTCCCTAAGGAAGATAGTTGAATTTGATCTAGAGAGTATCCTACAGCTGCCTGTATCAGACAGAGCAGATCCAGCCCTTGACTCCAACTTTACAGACAGGTTCTTTTCCATCCATAACTGCTAAGAATACAAACCAGGGGAGGTGGGAAAGGCTTACGTGACTTATGCTGGCTTCAGCCAATCGCCCATATAATCATAGTAATAAATACCGTTCACACTGAACTACATTCCAACTGTAATTTTATGCTCCTGTGGAGGATTTTATTTAAAGTAATGCTTAAAAATAATTTATGTAAATTACCCCAGAACAGAAGCAGCAATGTAACATTTCTTGACAGGTAGTCCTATTAGCATTCCTTTAAAACGTGGCTATAGAGGACAAAAACTTGGAAACATGTAAATGATAGAAGCAATGAGATACTTATGCACAGTTACAATGCTTAATGCTGGGGATAATTTCAGGATAAGGCCAAGCTGAGTCCAGAGCATGAAAAACAGAACAAATGCAGGAGGGAGAAAGAACAAAYGGAAAAATACCAGGGACCAGAACTGGGAGTTAGGGCTTCTCAGCTTTATCCCTATCTCTTCTGCTAATCAAATGTGACCACCTACAAGTCACACTCTGACTGGAAGCCAATGGARAGATTCACTGTGACTTAACTGGGTTTTGCCTCGTACCCTTGGAGCATCTGGCTGAGCTCTTTATTTCTTTTCAGTTTTGTATACTTAGCTTTAGAAAGCAGTAACCTCATTTGCAGGTGGCTTCCTTAACCCCAACTGTCTTGAATTTCAGTTGTAGTTTTGTGGTAAATCTGAAGCATGGGCTTCCACTTGCAGAACAGACTTGGGAACTCAATGCTCTTTCTGAGAAGCTAGGATTTAATTGCTCTCTACTGAAAACCTATGGTATGAAGTTCTTTACTGTGGGGTAACATGTCTCTGCATCAGCTGTTTTAAGTATTTCTGCAMGTTATCTGGCACGCTCAGATTTTGCTGCAAATGTGACGTTCTGGCAAAAGGAGGACAAAATTCACAAACTACTTCTTAATTACCGAACATAGGAGTATGAACTGCAACAGCAAAGGAGGGAACATGCATGATAACTAACTACAGGGGAGAAGAAAAACATGTTTCTACTAAGCCTCTTGTTCACATATAAAAATATATGTCATAGAAAAAAAAAAAAAGGGGGGGAACAAGTCAAAACCTTAATAGTTAGCCATAACCGAGGAAAAAAAGAAGAGAAAAAATATGTTGTTTACATCCACACATACTAGTGCATGTGCCCTTTTTGTGGGTAGTACATCACTTCAGAGACAGGCATTCTTTAATGGCAAGATCCATGATATTTTTTTTTTCCCCTGGTAAACTGGGTGTCATCTTTAAAGAAAACCTGGCTTCTGCACATAACACCTCAAAGAAATTCTGTATAATGTTTTGCAGGGGCCCAGCAATACAGATATCTAGATAGAGATCTGTAAAGCTTTATCTATAAGATAAAGCTTTAAAAAATTAAAGAGTGAACTGAGTAAACAGAGCGAATACTCCTTCAATTACAAGGAGCAGTACAAAGCGCCACCACTCACATGTGATGAAAATAAGACACATGGTTAATATATTATTTATATAATGAAAGTAAGTCTGCTATTAAACCATTTCATATCAGCTTGAGCAGGTAAAAGAACATGATTCTTAAACAGCAGAGAATCACCCCAGGGAAGGCAAGCTCTGGCTGTAAATTCAGAGCAGTGACAGACCTACCTAGGGGCAGGCAGTGCTCAGACTGCAAGCACATCTGTGTGCCTCACAGGGCAATGGGCCAGTATTTCTAAGTGAGTATAGATAGTGATTGCTAGCACTGTCCCCAAAATAAATAAATAAATCACAAATCGGTCTATTCAATACTTAAGTTTACAATAAAACGTAGGCTAAATTCTGCCTTGGATCCCTGGTCACTTATAGTTGGATCCATGCTTGGCCCAGGGTCCACATGCCTGCAATGTTATTGCTGCTGGTCCAGCAACTTAGTTGTATTTTCGGGCTTCCACTTCAAAAGTTACTTCTGCTTTCAGTCTTTCCTGCTCTCATTTCAGCAGTTTGTGCTTGGACCCTCTCATTTACCTCCTCTCCTTCCTTCTGTTACCTTTTATATCATTTTGAACCTTAGGATGCTCAATAACTCCATGCCTCCCCTTTCAACATGTTTTGGGCATTATTTAATTATTTATGGCCCAAAAGCAGATGGCTATTCATATCTCCAACTCACCAGTTTTTTTCTTTCATGTCCCATTAACTCAGTGTCACTTTTAACATAAACTTGCATTTAAACTTGATTTTTAATCATACCCTACTAACTTATCCACATCATTAGAAGAATTTTCCCTTAATGTATAAAACAGTGCAATTTAATTATAATGTTGTGAGCTGCCTTCACTAATACATCCTGATCATTTATATTCTCCTGAACAGTTGAGTTTTCTTTGTTTTCTGGATTGTGGCTGTTTTGGCTTTGGGCTAAAACAGAAGAGTGCATTTTGTGTGAGAATTTCACCTTCTCCTTACACTGTCTGCAGTGTATCCTTTTAGACTTCACTTTACCTAAGAATTAAAGGACAAGGCTGTATGATGAAGCAGACATGGAAACCTAAAAARGCTCTCAGTGGGAAGGAATAAACACTTAGATTGCAGAGAACAGTGAAATGAGGTAAAGAGATTGGTAGATGTTTAGCCCTCTAGAAATTGCCACACAAAGGAAAGAGGAGAGGAGATAMAAATTTCAGGATGGGGAAAAAGGTGAGCAAGTAGGACAGTCTTTGTCCTTATCCCTTGSTCCCTTCTTCTTGAGCAAAAACAAATTTACTGAAGAAAGTCTTACCCTGAAATGCATCTCTGAGGAAAGAATATTTTTAAGTGTATATGTAAGCGTAATTATAATTACAATAAAGTACAAGAAGGAAAAGGCCTTTGCTCAAAAAACAAACAAGCAAAGTAAGCCTAAAGGGCTTCCAAGCACTTCAGTAAACAAAGGTAGATTAAAAAATACAGCTTGCTGTGGCAGAAAAATACTGTTAGTGAGGAATTAAGAACCAAATAGAGATGTAATTACATGAGTAGACATCAGCTAGTTTATGCAATAAAGAACAAAATGATTTGCAGCAATGTTTAATGCAAAACCAGCAGGAAGGTGATTGAGATTCACATTTAACCTATGCTAGAAATAAACTTCCTTCGTTGATAAAGTCTGGACAATTCCAGTASCTTAAGATAGTGAATAATGTCTCCTGCTTCCTGAACGATCTGAACTGTAATCAAACAGAAATGAAACAGCATGTAAATCTGAGATTAATTTAAAATGATTATTTCTAAACAGTTTGCCTTGACAGAACTGATTTAAGAGCAAACTAACCTGTTGTAATTGAGGTTACAGCAGAAAATATTTTGCCAGATATTTAAATGACAAAGTAATCAAAATAAATTAAAAAAAGAGAGAGAGAGAGAGGAGAAAATTTCTTTCCCATACCTAGTGACAGACTGAATCTTCTAAGACAGTATCCAGACTGCTCCTTTGTCCAACAAAAATGTATAAGAAATAGCTTGAAATTGGAAGTGTTCTAACTTAATCTCATTTCCTTGATCTAATATAACTCTCAATCTTTGATACACTGCATAGAGTGATTTGAAAAGCTGTATTTGATATGGCKTTGCAAGATAAGGACCAACAGTATTTTTGTCTTTAAGACTATGAGTGAAAATATTTAACATTTTGTCCATTTAGTATTTTTACTCTGCAAGAAGAAACTTTTTCAGTGATTCTGCAGTGGGATGAGCTCATTACCCTGCAAACAAATCTTGTCCTGACCCTTTTTCACTCTTTCATCATTTTTACTTTATTTGCCACCAATAAAGCTATGAAATGGCTATTATTAAATAAGATACAACTGCTGTTGTACAGAGAAGGGAGGGGTATTACTTTGCTTTGTAAACGAAGGTAACTGCACAAATACCAGTGATCCCAGTACAAATATCCCCTAGGAGCAGGGCAGACAATATCATAATGCAAGGTGCCATCTTCACTTAAAAGGCACTCTGTGGAATAACAACAAAAAAGGGGGTCMACAAGCAGCAGGGGAATGGGGTTTGCTGATCTTTGACACAGCATGTTGCAGGGAAAGGAGCTCACACACAAGGGGTTGTTGAAACTAAGATTATAGCACTCTAGCTGGATGTACAGTGTGGGACTGCAGTACTGGTATGAAGGAAAGCCCTTAGTAGAGATTCACTGAATACAGTGAAACTACTGCAATGCTTAAAACCTGTACTTTTCTCTATAGGACATTTTTAATTGATCTTGAATTCCAAAAAARCAATTGGAGTGTAGGATGCTTTAAGACCATAGGACAGGKTTTKTTTGTTTGTTTGTTTGCTTTATTTTAAAAAATGTATGCAGGAGCTAATTAGGCCCAATATAAATTATGTTTTTTATTTCCAAACAGAAAGCAACTGGCAAGTTGAGGTAAACACTAGTATTTAACAGACTTAAGGTCAGAAGAGCCATCAGTTTGCTTGCTCAATGTGAGATACTTCTTATTTATATCCTTTAAATTTTGAAGAAGCATCTGCAAGTCACAGTGTTCTTCTCAGAGATTACATGATGAAATAACTCTACTAATAGTTTTACATCTCAGCCTCCACCAGCCAAAAATTATTCTCCCCTGTTCCAAGAGGTAAGAATAAGGAATACTTCCCCAGCAAAATAAATTCCAGAGGTTAACAAAGAAATCTGGTAGTAGAAACCACCGCAGAAAAATCCATGAGTTGCAAGAATTTTTACAATTAAAAAATAATTGAGCCAGTGAAGTCACCTTCCTGAAACAATATTTAATAGCATGCATTAATCACATAAGCACACATATTCCGCAAAGTAGATAAATGATAGATTTTATACTTTGCAAAATGATCAAATAGACTATTATAGTAAGTTTTATTTAATCCTGATTTCGATAAAAATCTTTAATGATTTAGATGAAAAATGGTAGCTAGTAAATTCTGGTTTATGTAGTAATTAACAGGCTGATATTCAATTATTTTTTCCCTAATTACTATACTCACTATACTAGTCAATCAGTTACAGCCTCATATTGCAAAAGAAATACAATTCATGCAGAATATGTTCATGACATGTTTGAAAACTATATATGAGAGTTCCATATATGATGATACGTATATATAAGATCACAGCAGAAATTCATGATTTATGTGGGTATAGTAAATCAATAATGAAATACACTGACACACAACCAAATCAAAAATACAATACAACCTCTCTCAGGCTCCGCTTGTAAAGAGATCTGCAGTCTGTTATTGATATGATCCAATTCTACTCCCTGGGACTAGTATAGAGTCTGTCAAACAAATACGGATATTTTTCTCCCCTCATACAAAATATCACTCTAGCCTTCCTTCCACCTGAAGTCCAAAGTATGAGTGCATTCATAATGAACGAGCCTTCCTTCCTCATCATTAAAACTAGTGAATCTATAAAAACCTATATAATTTAACAGGATGTCAAATTACCTCTTTCAACAAGGAAAAAAAAAAAAAAGCAAGGAAGGCGAAGCAACTGTACGTAAGACATTCTTGAAAAGGGCCTCTGAAAAACTAGCTGTCAGAGTCTTTCTTTTGTATTTTACTACTAAAGTAACCAAGCAAGAAAAAAGARGTGAATTAAAACCAAAGGAAGTTGTATCTGAACGGCATCTTTCTCATCATGTACAATTACATAACAGTAAAGCTACAGTGGAATAAAATATATTCAAACTATCATCTTCAGAATTTAACTGCTGACTGCGCCCACTCTCCCCACTCCTACTTGTCTGCACGGAAACTCCATTTTAAAATGCTGCTGGTGCTAGTCATCATTTTCTGACCTAGCAATATATTTCACCTAACACTGCTTTAGATCAACATATAGTATCAGAAATTATAGAAACTACAAGAATCAGTAATTACAGAAATTTSAAACTTATATTTCTCCTTGCTGCTTGCATACGATGAGTTTGCATTTGGGTTGACACTTGAGGGGCAATAGGAGCCACGCAGCCCATCCAGCCTGCTCATGGTTTGCTCATGGAGTGCCCTCAGAGCGAGCGCAGCCGCTGCAGGACACGGGCTGAGCTGGCACGGGGGTAGGTGCAGGGCTATGGGCTAGACAAACATTCAACAAGGCTGACACCTAGCAAAACTTCCACGAACTGCAAAATGAACGTGAGACCAAAGCTTCGAGAAAGCGAGTCTGAAACGCGGGGATTTAGGAGAATCGGAGAAAAACTGCTGAGAGTGTAAGCAAAGTATCCAGAGGGACGCAGCATATAATGGAAAAATGAACCTAATCGTTGYAAGGGAACCAGAGCTTGTCTAAGGAGTTGTTGTTTTGTTACCTCTGGATCTGAAAATAGCAGTCCTGTATCCTTATGTTTTATTATCGCTGCATTCCCAGGAATGTTTCTTGCCAGCGCTGGTATGCCTAAATCCATTGCCTAGAAGAAGAAAGGAAACAACATGGKTCACTTGAGGCATCACTGGTGAGAAGTTTAAAATGAGAAGCAGACACAAAGCATCCAACTTCTTTCCCACTGCTTCCCCCGCCAACCTAAAAATACCAAGTCTAATGTGATCTCCCATATGCAACTTCACTGAAACGATTTCTTTAGGTTTTTTTGTCAGTCTTGTTACTTTGAAAAGASTATCAGAAGCAATCAGTCCAGAGAGTCCCACAGCTGAGTCATCCTTTATTCAGCTCCTGCTCATGGTGTGAACAATGTGGTGCCCATTGGCAGGTCCTGACATATTTTAAGGAGGTAAAGTTCAATTCAGATCAAAGGTTGTGCCTGTAACTCTCACTGTTACAGATAAGAAGGTCAGTTAATAGCATAAAAGGTCARCTTTCCCCTTCACATATTACCTGTTTGCTCTAATCAAAATGTGCATTCTATGGACTTTCTACGGCCTCTATAAATAAAGGTGCATAGATCGATAGATATATAGATGCGTGTGCATGCATGTATACACATTTATACATCTCTCTATATATGTTTAAAAGAAGAAAGGAGGGGTGGGGTCTCAAGAAGGTATCTTGTCAGGAGCAGACATGCACCACAGCATCCCCTCCACAACCAGGACATCATCTCCAAGATTCCTAAGGCCGGGCAACTTCTAAAATTACAGTTTAGGTATTGAAAAACCTGGTGGATAAACCTAGCCTGACCTGAAGTTTTAAGTCTTCTTGCCAAACTGGAAGCCTTGAGATACCCTGAACTGAACCCCCAAAAAATAAACATATTGTATAATTATCATAGTGTCAAACATCAGAAAAAAATTTCACTCCCCTCAAATCTTCAATCTGTTTCTCTGTCACTTCACAGAGAACTCATTTTTAATTGCTGTCATTATACTCCCAGACAGGAAGCTATTTTCCATCAGTTTATGTAGCAAAACCCCCAAACTCTAGGGAGAAAATAAAGAGTTTGATTTTTTTTGTTTTTAATTCAGACAAAGCTGAAGACAAAAAATATCCTGGCCAGTAATGTACAAAACCAATTATATTTTGCACAGTGAAGGAATACTGTGACTTAGCAACATGTGCTAATAGGTTAAAATATACAAGAGAAACACTGTTTAAAACAAGAAGCACTGCAGATAAATTTACTCTAGACATATAACTCCTATAGCCCTTCTGGCACAAACATCTGCTTTGCAGCAGTTAGCTCTAAAAATAATAATAACCCTTAATGATATAACCTGTTCTACACTTCACAGCAGAAACCACAGGGTCAGCTGGAGGTAATTCAGAAATAGATTAATAAAGTCAACTCAAACTAGAGTAAATAACTCAGCAAAATAAAAACTACAGGCCAAATTTCTGAATTTATCTCTGTATCTAAAATTGCATTGATACAGCTTTTTCACTGTCATATTGATGCGAGAAATGCCATTTTTTGGTCAGCCAAAATGATTCATTAACTAGCTTTGAACTTACTATAATATAGAAGGGAAAAAAAAAAAAGAAAAAAAAAAAAGAAAAACATGACAACATCTACTCACCAGCCCAGCAAAGTTCCCAGTATTCACCCAGCTCTGATAGGAGTTGAGTTTGCCTGATTGGGGCTGGAATTCGCAGATTGAGGGCGAGGCTTTTGGCTCTAGTTATACGCAACCCTAAACCTAACCCGGGGTTACCAAAGCCCTAAAGGAGGGGAGAGCCTTTCTGAATCATCCACTTCATCTCCCTTTTCCCTATTTCCTATGGACAGCCCTGTCCTGGGTGCGCTGGCTGCTCTCGGTCTTGCTGGAACACAGTCAATGAATAGAGGATGAAAACGGTTTACTTGAACTTCTGAACTGAAACTCAAGAGCTTGGAGCAGCATGTCAGCTTTCAGGTCACCTCCCCACACCCCTTGACCTTCTTTTTATTTCATATTTTCTGTTTCCTTTTTTTTTAAAAAAAAAAAAAAAAAAAAAAAAAAAAAAGTGTGTACCACTAAAATTAAAAAAAAAAGAAAAAAAGAAAGGAAGGAAATCCGTAAAACACAGCAATGTTTGACCCTGGATTGGCCATCCGTACCACCCACTTTGGACACAGTGCCGTTTGGCTGTACACAAACTGTGACTGTCACATACACATACAATTGAGAGTCAGGCTAACAACACATCCAGTGGTATCTTAGGCTGTATCTTATATGCTGGCACAGTATTGCTACACCACAACAAAGCTGGACTGCTGCAGCATGTTTTTTTATTTTAAAAAAAGTGGTTTTTTTTCTTTTTTCATTAATTGTTATGAGATGTCTTCATTTAGTTCTGCTTCTAAACGCTTCCAAGTTGACATCTCATTAAAGTTGGCCACTTAATTCATATTTCATTTTCCATAATTCCTGAACTTGCAGGAAAAAGCMATTTGTTCTGTCTCATGGAGTTGGAGGGCAATAACGGCTACATCAAAAAACTTTTAAGGTCCCAAAACACATAGGTACCAGTGAATTATAGCCACAGAAAGACACAGCAGATGGCCAAATTCATAAGATGAGGAGCTGGCTTTATACCAGCTAGCCTTAAACAAATGGATTGTGCTGTAAATAATCACTGCATGAAGTGGCTTAGAATTTAATTTAGATACTTAGTCTATTTTTTAAGCAGTAAAATGAATCTTTCGCATTGTTGAAAATATGTATAATTTACTGACCTAGGTTCCACAAGTAATACGGTAAAAAAATCACATTTTATTCAGTTAACCATCTGTTTTGCTACATTATCGTGACTGCAAATGTGTTTTAAAGCTATATCAGAAGGCTGCAGGCTGTAAATTTTAGCTTTGGAAGTATGTTTTGCAATAAAAACTTCTAGCTTAGTATGGAGCTTATACAGTAAATACAGTTTTTGTTTACTATTATGTCTTTTCTATTGTCCCTCTTTTTATTCCTCCTATCCTATTTGTATATTTTTTTTGATTCRTCTCAGCTTTACTCAATTACTCCTCCTAATTTTTATTTTATAGTTTTCTGAGCTTCTATTCCAAACTATAAGGTTTGTACTTGATATGTCGTCTAAGACTGCATTTTGTATCACAGCAGAATAGAGATTGTCTGTCTTCTTTTCTATGATGATTTTTTTTTAAAGACTGGCTTTTTCTTGTGACACTATAGCAACCTAATGCTCTTTATAGCAGGTGAAATATTCTTTACAGCCGAGCAAATACTCCGAAGAAATGGTGTTAAGGTCAAAACGTTTTGCTTTCTAACTATCGGGAAAATATAGAAAATTTTCTAGCAATAGTGCCCATTTCACCATCATCTGCCCAGCAATGTGCAGCACTCCTGCTTGCTTGCTATAGCACTTGCTTTCTCTTCTTTAAAATCCAAAGAGAAAATAGATCTCTCAGATATCAGTACCAGATAACAAAATAATTAATTATGATTCCTAGTTCTTTCAAACCTTAAGGCAAGTTTGAAATGGATATGATTTTATATTTATCTCAGACTAAAAGCAAGCTAAGTATGCGCTCAGCGTTTATAGATTCATGACCTTGTTAAATATTGAATCTCCAAGCTGATGAGAACTTCATTTTCAAATTCCAGYGAGATGATATTTCCAGCCAAGGACCAAAAGAATTTTACACATAGTTTTCTGCCTTGTTAATTTAACAAGATCTTAGCAGATGGCCCTTCCTACTGTTAGCCTCAGGTAGGGACTTGACTTAATTAGACTGACACTTCCCCTGAGAAATAGTTTTTTTACAGTAGGGTATTTTATAAGCTTGTCATGAAATCCCACTGTACCACTGTTTAGTAGATAGTCATGCAATACCAAAATTCCTTGTGAGTTTGGCAGAAGGGTCCGAGTAACTAAAAGGCCAAGCTTCACGCAGAGAGAGATAACAACCCAGCTCTGCTTGTGGAGTTGGTAGGAGCAGCTCTGAAATTCAAACCTAGCCTGAGCCTCCTCCTAATCCTCCAAATAGATGTCTAGCAGACACCCATACGTTCTTTACTGTAATATTTGAGTAGTTCAGAACTAGAGCAGAATCAACAAAAGATTTTATGCTTACAGTTGCCGTGTGAAAAATTATCTGTATTTTTCAGGCGGAAAATAGTGGRCACAGACTTAATGAGCTAATCTGTCCAAGATCACACAGGAAAATCCTGCTCAAACTGGGAACAGAACTGTTGTCTCATGACATCTGCGCTGTGTCTGTTAGACCTTCCTTCCTCTARTGCAATATTGCAGCGTGTGCCTGTAACTGGTAGCTCATTTGCTTGAAACAGATATGCACCTGAACCCGCATGCTCAGGCTCCAGAAAGCATGCCAGCTCTTTATATCATTGTTGCATGACTTCCATGATAAACTCAAAGTCATGAGTTATCATTTCAGAGATTAGGCTGTCTCTCCTCTACTCAACTAGGCTAATATAAGACTGAGGCTGGTGAAAAGAAATGGGTTACACTTATAGATGTTTTTCTTCCTGTGAACAGAATCTTCCTGCAGGAGATCATAATTTCTAAACAAGAATATGCAGCCTTGCTTATAGCTCTCTACGATAACACTTACATAATTACATAGAGATAAGTGCAGCGACATAAAACTTACCATAAATGTGAGCAGCTACCAGCACCTACCATCCCACTCACGGATCTGAACTGAATGTGGGTCTGTTTGAGAGCAAAACTCTTACAACGCTGAGCACACATGAACTATCATCTACACAGCAGCTTAAGAGGCAGAGCTAGGAGATAAGTCTTACTTGAGAAAATACAGTTAAGTGTCTCAACTAGCTGCTCGCATTGTGGAGTTCCAGTTTAAAAGGAAATGGATAGTGCCAGGCTGTGAGTTGTGGCAGCTGGAAAGCTCATCTCATTTCTCATCTGCTGACTTAAATCATGCCGAGCACCCTTACCCTTCTGCAGTAGAAACCTTGTCTCTGAGCAGCCTTTCCATTTGAAGTTTTTCTTCCCGTTTGGACTTTTTCTTCTATTTTTGTAACTCCTTAATACTCACAGGAGGTTCATCAGATTGATTCTTGGTCAATTGTCACTGTGTGAGTAATCCTGGAGGGAAGGTCTCCTCACTGAGAAGGTGACAGGTACTTATCACTCTCTCAGTTACTGACTTAGTTGTGACTATGTGCTGTGCTGGCACATCCAGTTCACCTCAGCTGCTGCACATTTTAAATTTGTCCAGCCTGTCACACTAACAACTTTGGATATGTCACAATCTGCYGTAATTGTTGTCTCTATACTGTTGTTGCTGTGAAACAGCATCTGCATCCACCTCGGAACAACTGGCATTTCCAAAAGGAAAGGCACCATCTCAGCACCACCTCATTTTCAGAGTTCTTACGCTGCTCACTTAGTGAGTGAACTTGTTTACGAAGAACTTTGCTGAAAAGTGTGCTGGAAATGCAACACATGATTACCCATTAGAAACAGCAATGGGAAAGTCATTATTAATACAGACCACATAACAGTCTTTGTGATCATCAGTGATAAACCAACCTTTAATAGTCACTAAAAAGAATAGTACAAGTTTCCCTGCCCCAAAAATTTCCACTTTAAGTACATTTACTTCTTTCTTAGGGAGCATTCGCTACTAAGCAGGGCCCTGCTTTGACAGGTATGAAATAAACCTGGTTATTAATTTTCAGCACCGATAGCAAAAAAAAATTAACTAAGCATGTCATTCCTTCATTAATCATTTCAGAATAACCAAATACAGCTCCTAGATTGCTCAGTGAAAAGATGTAAAAATAAATGGAATTCTATTTTAGCAACATTACAAGGAAGTAGATGTTGAATCAAGAATAATAGTAGTCCCAATAAATCAGAATAATTTTCATTTCTCACGTCTGTAATGTTAATTTAACAAGATTGAAAAAAAATTACATTGTGCCATTTAAAAATAAATAACTAGCTGAACCATAAAAATTTGTCACTTTAAGGAGGGAAAAAATTGAATTACTAATGCTTGCAAAAAGAAATATTTTAATTTAGTCTTCACCATGTTTGAAATGTGGACATAAAATGTTGACACGTGTTTCCACTGATAAAAGGCTATTTCAGATTCACTGTAACCTCATTGAACACCCTCTCTGCAAGGATGCAATTACCTCCAGAATTGCAGCAGACATTCCCTCAGAAATGGAGCTGTTCACCACCGCAAAGCATCTTTTCATAGCAGCATGAAGATCATCTTGTGACATCTCCTGTAACAAATGTACTCCGGGTGCCCTAGAAACAAAGCRCACACAGTTAGGACACTTACTAATTGAAGAATTTTGCTCCCTAAAACTTAGGGCAATGATGGAAGATGGCCAGAACTGTTCAGATGTTAGCAATCATTTGGCCATGGGCAGGTCACTTTAGCATTTTATTTTTTTTTTTTTAGCTTTCTATATATTGGAAAACTATGTTGTTTTAGGATGGACCAGGGTCTCTCCAACTTCCTCTTCTAGTATAAGCACTCTTGCCATCTCTTTCTGAGTGGTTACCTTCCTACTACTGTCATCTTCCTCAGATTAATCAAGATCAATCAAATCAAGGGCAAAGGATGGAAAGACAGGGTAATAAGGTCTTCAGTCCTTGACGACGTGGCTGAGCTCTTTTAAACTGGTGAGCAGTTTTGAGAAACCAGAATCTGCTCCAGCTGAGGAGCCCACTCCTGCATCCCTGTGCTCTCCATAAGACCGCTTTCCAACGGTGAGCACAAGTGCATCTGATCCTAAAACCAGCTCCCTGTCAATGAGACCTTGCTAAATGCTGCTCTTCTGACTCTACAGTATGTAATACCAAGCTTCTGTGCACATTAATTATATCAACTGCAGTAACATGGCATAATTATAGCTGACTTTTTTCATGAATAACCTGGAAGAAACCAAGAAAAACAGTCTCACTCCAGAAACAGGAATTGCAAAACCCATAGTTTGTGCAGATTTTAACTCTGAGGCATATCACTCATATTAACAGAGAGGCTCTCTTCCAGTCAAGCAACTYTATGTACCTCATGGGAAAATGAGCAAAAAAATCTCTGTTTTCTAAAATTTATATCTTTCAATTAGGAAGTACATAAACAATAGGTAGTAAAAAAGCTGCTCAGGGATATCTTATCCCCCTACTCAGCCACCACAGCATGCAAAATCTTGCTGAAGYCAAAGAATGAAAAAGCCCAAAAGAMTAATTAGTATAAATCATAYCTAATTCTAAATGAGAGGTGCTTGAACACAAAATATGAAGAGCTCTACTTTTAAATGCATTACACAATTTTAAATTTACAGAATATCCGGTCTGAAAACATCAAGTGCAAAATTATCAGAAGAGATTTGTTAGTTATTCATAAAGCAGCGCAGCTACGTTTCCTGTAAACACAAATACCTGCTTAGGGACAGAATTAACTTCTTACCTTTTAACTTTTTCTTTGACTTCACATGTAAAAAGTGGATCAACCTAGAAAGAAATACATACAAAGACATATGGTGCTACATTAGCACTATAGCACCCATTTGAAATACCGGCAAAAAAAACCCACAAATGCATACCAATTTTAGTGCATTTTTGCTAAAATATTTAAATGTACGASTAAAACACGCTTTAAAATCATATCRGAGATTGGTAATTTCATAGAGAACCTTTTGATTTCTGAGATGAGTGCTCTTGTGAGCGACCAATACTTAGAAGAGATATCTTGCTAGGGTTCAAATTCAAATGACTGATCTGACAACTCCCTGTGTAAGTGAGGAACAATGTGCTGACGGGCCGASTAATTGTCCTTTTATATATGGAGTAACCAGCATGAGGAAGGAAAGGGACTGTTCAAGCTTTAGCTAACACAGGAAGCAATCTGCATGTAAATTGAGAAGGTCAAATAGATTTTTATGCATGTTATGGCAACTTGCTTGAGAATTAATACAAACAAGCTTTAATAAACTAGGATTAAACAGTTACTTAGGGTAGTAATTCCAGCAATCAACTCCAGCAAGTTTGTTCACAAAGTTAAACTAAGTCTGTTATTCACACTTAACATGTTTAAAAGAAATAAACAAAAACTGGAAATTCTTAACTGGATGTGATGAACAGCACTGGACTTGTTTTTATTAAGGCAGAGTGAATATATTAGATTAATTTGTGACAGCACACAGCAATTGAAAGCACTGAGGGCATCCTGGCTTGTTTTGTTAATATATGCTAATGTGCTATTCCTTTGTTAAAAAATACAAAACAGTAATTAAACAATTTAGAAAACTTTTGGAAAAAAAATCAGAAGGGATTTTATAGCTATGACTGTGTACTTTGAACAAAAGGATAATTTGGCATGAAACTTTGGGCTTCATAAATGGAAATATTCAAGCAAATAACTCTTGTGCTCTGGAAAACTACCTAATGTATGTCAACAGCAAAAGGTTCACCTAATTGTTTTAGAAAGTGTTTTCAGTAGTAGTGTGAGAATAAACAGGTGCCCTTTCCCAAAACACTGCCTAATCCTGGCAACAGAATATGATAGTAATCTATAATCCTATTTCTATATGAAATCTATAATTCAATATGCTGATTCAAATGTTCCTCAAGTATTTTGTATTGAACTTTATGATTGCTATTTCTTTATAAAACCTTTTCAGCTTTCTTCCCAAAATATTATTTTGGGGAGAAAAATACTCCAAATATAAGGGGATAAAATAACCCCAAAATACTCACAAAAGGTCCCGACGAACTCTACTCTGTTTCCATTGACTGAATAGTACATGCAATTTAATGAGCAGTGAGATACGGGCTTTTGCTTTTCTGTCTTTAGAAGGATGAAAAAAAGTACGGCCTGTAACTCATAAAATTTACAAGATATTAATTTCTACCCTATCTACTCCTGTGGAAGCCAATAAATTGCCATTTCCCAACAGTCCTTTCAGCTATATTCTGTTGAAGAAGCCACAACGATTCCTGGTTGCTACATTTAGGACCTAATGTCCCAAAGATAAAACAGACAAATAGTTAAACTAAAAAAAAGAAATGTATATAGGAATAAATTCCCATCACTGAAGTAGGTTTCCACGTGGAATACTTCTCCAGAAAGTGCTCAGAGCACTATTAGCTGTTTCATTTTAAAAGTAGCCCAAAAAACATACAGTAGGTAGCAGTCATACATTATAAGGAGATGGGCTACATGACCTGMAATGTCCTTCCATCTCTGGAGGCAGATATTCAACTAAACCTATCTCAACAGGCATGGAAAGAAGTTGGATAGCTGAAAAATAGCTGTCAATGAAAAATAGTATCCTTATAAACACAGCAATATTCTGTACTGTCCACAAGAATGGTTAAGAATTACACAGAGCATACAAAGTGGGCTTCAAGAGGCTACCCAACAGCTCAACACAAGTGCTTGGGTCTTAACTTCTAAAAAGTTTTATAAGAATCTCTTTTTGGACTGTAGCCATGCTAAAAGTTAGCTATTGCTTCAAATTACTTCATTATTTAAAAGAGAAATGGACAAAAGGAAAATTGGAGCAGGAGATCACCTAATCCTAAAACACTCGTGCCTAGCAAATGCAGGAAAAGGTCAATAATCTATACAAGCAAAGCAGAAAAAAACATGAGGGCTTTATTGATTTATTCTTGATTAAYATTATTAATGTTATTCTTAACATATTCTTTTTGAATATTCGTTATAAATATGACTTGCTTCTTGGGTAGTGCCACTGAGTCTCTTAGCATTTTGTGGTTTGAGAAGAAAGAAAGAAAGAAAAGCAGACTTAAATACCATAGAGCTAAGCACATGCAATTTATTTTAGCCTGTAAAATAATTCTCTAATTGGCCCTCCTTTAACTATAATTTAATACTACAAGAGAACTAAGGTTTTAAATGTCTAAAGGAGGTCCAGTCCTTGATCTATGTATTGCCATAGGGTTATTTCTCGTAACTTCCTGTAATTACATTAGCTCATGAAAAATTAAAATTGATATAAAAGAGAAGCAAAATATGTAAAATCCACACTGGAGACAGCAAGTTCATCCCCTTATCCTAAAGCACAACTTCAATACACCTGCTGGAGATTTACCTTCCACACCAGTTCACTTTCAAATCATTCTGTGCATTAGTGTGGAAATAATGCAGATAAAGGTAAAAAAGTAAAAATGGCTTTTTGAAAAAATAAAATCTCATGCCCTGAAATTTGCGAGGAACAAACTGAACGAGAAAACAGAAAACTAAATCTTATTTGTGCATTCAGATTTTGTGTATTTCCTCATCTATTTTGTGCATATCCTTATCTACTAGGTCACTTGCAAGCTTGCAGGGTCACATGAAGCTGAATCAAAGATGAGACTGAGAAGASAGACCCAAAGAGATTTCTCTGAAAAGAAAATGAAGTTTTTAGTCCTTTTTTAGCATCTTCAGGGATCTGATCCTTTTTTCAAAATGATACATCCAGGTAGCCTTTCTTTTTTCCACTATTTAAAGCAAGGTTACAATCTGTCTTTTCAAGATTTTTTTTTTTCTGCACTATGCAGAGGGTCAGCAGCAGCAGATTTCTGCAACACGTTTATCTTGTTTTCTTTATAAAAGCTAAAAGTTCTCTGAYTCAGGTTCCATTTGTCAAGAATTATGGAAATACCTCGCACATGAGTAACCAGAAGTATTTTGTAGTAAACAAGCTTGTAAATTAATAATTACAGTATCAACTTACTGCAGGTCCAATTATGCCCAAATGGACACTGGGCTCCTTTCTGTGCCAGTCTAAAACACAATAGGAGAACATTTTTTTACTTATCACTATTAATCACTTTAAATATTAGCATTTAAAAAGCTCACAAAATAGTCTTCTTCCTCTGAAAAGTAAATAGTAGCATGAATAAAGCAGATAGCATTAGGCAAATATTGTATATATGACTTAAAGTACTGAATACTAATAATGCAAATGATTAGCACATCTAAAAGTTAGTCTTTAGCATTTCTGCCTCATGCAGTCTCTTATGATTCAAGGGTTATTTAACTAAGCTCAGATATTAATTTTCAATCATCTCAAGAGAATAAGGCTTTACAGAATGCAGGGATTCTGGCCACTATGCCAAAATGAYTCAGATTTTTCCTCCTGTGTAAAGGAGATTTTTCCTCCTGTGCGAAGAAACATGCAGAAAAAAACTGCAACTATTACAACTAATACCTATGTTTATCATGCATGCCCAGGAAAGCTACCATTCCCCAAATATCAGAATAGACCTCCAGCACAAAACCATTTACTTGTTTTCAAAAAACTACATTTATTATTAACTACTCAAAGGTGGTGAATATGTACATAAAAAAATTAAATGGAATAGTTGAAGCTAAATTTCCCATTTTTTCATATCTGAAGCTCTTACAGGTACAAGTTTAAATCCTGGCAAAACTGTCCCAGTTGACTATGACAAAAGCTCAGCCTGGCTTACAGTACTGAGCCATGAGGATGGGTGGTAAGATTTGCTTTTAACTTTAATGCTATACCTTAGCACACATGCAAATGAGTGCACCAACCAAAGAGAAGTAAAATTAACATCTTATTTTAAAATAGGTGAACTGTTCTTTTGTCTTCCATTAATATTGTGTACAGCAGCAAAATAGTTTTGCCAACAGGTAGAAGCATCAAATACTTCTTTGACTTTAATGTTCTGTTATTCCCAGCAGGCAGAAAATGATACAGTACAAAAATAACATGTGGAACAGATCATATTTATTCTGTAAAATATAAATATAATATGAAGTTCTTTGAAATGAACAAAACAGCTTATGCCAAAATTATAATCAGTGAAAGAAATGTACCTGGATGAAATGCATCCAGGAAAAACATACTCAAAGAKCAGGCACCTACCTGAAAATACATCTACTAAATACAGAGGGTCTTTGATTCTTCGAAGTCCACATATCAGAAGAAAAATGTGTAAATTGTCCACATCGGTAGGAATGCCTGAAAYAAAGTATTGCAAAAATCTGAATGCAGATAGCAAAGTTAAACATCTTCAAGTTAATTATCTCCCAAATAAGCACATAAAAGAGGACTTAAAGACAGGAGATAAAGGGTAGATTCTGAAAAATTCTGTGTTGTTCCTTTGATTTCAATGGGAAGTAACTTCAGTAGAGTCAATTAAATTTGGAACTTCAGCACTGGTGGTTTTACTTTTTTTCCTGACTTTGCTAATAAAGCCAGTGCCATCACAGAAGCAGATGTAAGGTCTGATAAATTTGTGATTTGAAACAAAACTCATTCTAATTAGAAAAAAAAATGAAAAAAAAAAAAAAAAAACCCACCCAGCAATTAATTCAGAACATAACTCGGGAGAAGGGTCACTATGTGAGGAACTTCGACAAAGTGTGTTTAGGATAAAATAATACACAAATTGCTGAATGAGCACACATACCACCACCATAATTTAATAAACAGACAAATTGTTGAGATGTTCACGTCTGATTTACTACACACAGCAAATCTGCTCGCCCTCCTTCACTTGGCTTTTTTATTGAGCTCATGGTAAGGATACACGACACATCTCATGTAACACTAGGCAAGTCAGGCCTAGTGTTAGGCCCTGTCAGGCCATTCCTCTTTGGCAGCCACTGGATGGAGCCCAGGAATGCGAGGTCCCCACACCGGGATGATGCTGCTGCATCTCAGTTTCTACCTCTAGGATTTAAGAGTAATAAAGGAATCTGCGTGGCACTGTCACCTTCTTCTTGAGAACAACTAAGCTGCCCTATGTAGCATCACTGAGTTCATGGAATTTATAATCTAAGATCACAAACACTTGCTACCAACTTGCTTTACTTCACCATATTGCACACAGCAGTGCTGCTTTAGCTGACAGATTCCAGTCCCTGGAAGAAACAGGCCAGGAACATCCTCATATCTTTCCTCATGTCAATAGATTAATAGGATCTCTGCATCAAATCTCTACTGCAGAGATGGAGGAGGAATCAGAAGAATGGCGATTCATAACATTCAAGTGCTATTGCTTTTAAAATTAAAGCCAGTTCAGGGATTTCTAAATATTCCCTGTCACAGAGTTCATTATTGAGTCAGTTTGATTTMATTTAAATAGTTTGAACTGTCAAGAGTGGCTGCAGCAGACAAGGTAAGTAATATGCTACTGTTTATTGGACCAAGAAATAATTTGTAATCTGTAATACACAAACATTTGGATTGAAAAAGCGCTTTCTTCTGGTGCAATGGCCCATTAATACTCTTTGTTTTTACGCAATGCAGCAGTGATTCCAATTCATGACCTAAACTCACTCAAAACAAAATATAAAAAAAGTGTCATCAAATTCAKATTGCTTTTTTAACTATCCATAACTCATTTTAATTTAAGAACTCACACCACTTGATGTTCAATTCTGCTATTCTGGAACTAACAACTTAAGGGCTGAAAGCTCAGTTAGACAGAGGTAACTACAGCTCCCCATTCTCACCTGGAGACCACAAAATTAAAATGCTCTTGAAACAACCCTCACGAACATCAGCTGAAATAACTGCCTCATTTTATCTCTGAACATCTTTTTTTTTGTTTCCATCTTACTGCTTTTGAGCTTTTCATTTTATTAGATATGGAATTTTAGAGTACTTTGACAATGAAAGGTCTGAATAGACCAGCTCTAGATCTAAAGGCCACTCTGTAACCTGCAGAGAAGCCTTAATCCAAARGAGAACTTGCAAAGGGGCCTTACAGACAGTAATTTTACTTTGCAGTTGGCATTTTTTTCTCCAATTCCTGCAGCATTTAAAGGTACCTTTCCATTAATAACTGTCTATTTTTTTTCACTAGTAGAATCATGTGAAATCAGTAATTATTTATGGAAGGAGGCCCCCGATTTGATATTTTTTTCAGAAAAGATTGCCATTAGCCTCAACTTTYCTAGGCAGATCACCTGCCCCGTGCAATTTTAGAAAACCAGCTTGTCAATTATTACTTTTTTTTTGCACTTTTCTCTGCAATACATGATATTAGACACACCAGACTATGCTGTATAGCATAGCTAAAAATTGTCAGAGAAGGGCTATCCCAAGGAAGGATTTGCTTTGCCTCTGCCATTCAATCTAGTAAGGCGAGAATCAATTGTAGCTTTATTTTATTGCATGTAGTTGATCTTAGTCATGACCTAATACATTTTGATACCCAGACRTTCCCCAAACCAATTCACTTACAAATGTATAAAGATGTTTCTGAGAAACAGCATTAGCAGAGCATCCCCACCACGCTCTGCTCCTGGGATGCAGTCCGTCTGTGACTGCTCATGATCAGACCAAAGCAGTTGTGCATTTCCTTAGCTATCTGTTCATTAAGCACTGAAAATGGTTAATTTATACATCAAATTCTAAGACAGAAATCTATAAATATGGCTCAATCGACTAACTYGCACTTTTGATACCTTTACTGGGTCACTATCTTGTCCAAACAACACACAAACCCTAGGCAAGAGAAAACGCTCATGTCTGTTTTCCYCTGTTGGTGCTACAAAAGCAAAGATCTGAAGTATATTCTGGCTCATGCATCTGATGTTTATTTTGCAAGGAAAATAAAAAATAAAAAATGGAAAGATTTGTCCATCGTCACTGACAATTAGAAAAAGACGGTATGAGGTGTCCAGCCATTCTCCAGAGCTGCCACACACCCTATGTAGGTCTCGCCACCCTAACCAACACCTCTGCCACTGTCAAAAATATTTGTTTAGTGTCAGCAGGAGTCGCTCCTTTCAATGTGCCTTGTCAGGATTTGTCTCTGACCCAGCCTGCTCTGTTATTTTGGCCTTATCTGTAAAAAGCAGCTGCACATTAACCATAGGCAGGCTTCAGCTTGCTTAGCAGCTCAGCCATTTAGCAAGATGTGAGAGGGCAAAGGAAGAGCAGTGATTGATAGGATTATGGAAACTCATTGCTCTCATCAGCAGGACATGGCACTGTGCTGATACGGCACCCGGGACTGCAGGGCTGGTGACAAACGAAGAGCAGGAGAGCTGAAAGGAAGCAGAGCCAGGGGCAGAGCAAGACTGATGTGGGACTCCCACAGCAGGAGAATGTCTCCAGCTCAAGCGGTCTTAGGCTGCCAAACTTGCCTTAAATACACTATGATAGTTTACACATGGGTATTGAAAAATTAAAAAAATTAAAAAAAATAAAAAATAAAAAATAAAAACTTGCACTGCAGCATAGCATAGTATGAAAACAGAAAAAAAAAACTATAGAAATAGTATAACATGGAAACCAGAATCATTTCTGAAGTATTAAGACATTATTTTCATCAGAAAGTAAAGAATAAATAAAAATATCATCTAAATATTTTGAAAGAGCACGGTTATTTAACTCCATCCCTTTAGCTGCAATCAGGAAAAAAGCTTAGTAATTGTGGATCTACAGTTCAAAAAAGTTTACTGTAAATCTTTAATCTTGTTGAAAAGCTGCAAGCCTTTAAGTGAATGAGAAATATCAAGCACTAACTTGCTGGGAGGTAAAGTAGCCTTTGGAGAATATCTTACATGACCTATTTTCTCACTGCTTGTTCAAATAAACAAAAATATTTTTCTTATTTAAATTCTTGGCTGTGTTTTTGTAGAATACTTTCAAAATCTCTATAGAAGGAGAAAAAAAAAACTAAATGATTTTTCATTATTGCTATTGTTTGGGAGCTGATTCCTTGGGAGCTGATTCCAYGACCTCACAAAACAGAAGTTTTTAAAACAAATACATTCATTTATAGTTTGTAAGTTTGCTGACACGTTTGTGAAGAAAACAAAAGTTGAAAGAAACCAGTAACTTCCAGGGGCAGGTCACTAATGCAGAAAAATTAGGCTGTAAGATTCTCCAGCATTCCTTTCCTTTGCTGCATCTCATTATTYCCAGCAGTCTGACAATAGAAAGTCTCTGCTTTCAGATCTGTGGAGGAACACTGTTACTGTCCATATCATTACTTCTATAGACAGCTGTATATCTACACAAACATTTAATTTTCCTTACCCACGTCCTTTTTTTCCTGAATAACTTTAGGAATATAATGCTTCTGTAATATCCTGTTTGTGCCACGACAGGTCATGTAAACTCTTCAAGCTCTGAAATAAGCTCTGCTACAAATCAGAAATTACTTGACAACAGAAAAATCAAACACCAGAAGTGTATCCCATGGCTTATTTGATAGCACGCACAGCATCTTATCCTACAATTCCATACCACCTTCCAGGAAATCCAGCTCTAGTCCTGCCTGTTGGGTAGTTTTGCAGTTCATTAGCCTAGACTATTAGTTAACCACTCCTTTTAATCCCATAATAAACACAAAGTGTTTTAGAGTTTACATCGTCTGCGCTTCAGCCACAAACCACTGAAATCAAAAGAAAGCTTTCATCAAGGTATGAGGATATCAAGTCCATCTTCATGTTCTTACATACTTAAATTCCTTCCTTAAGAAAAGTTGTTAGAGAAGGTCAGGCTCAGATTCCACATTCATTTAGACTGTCTTGTCTTTTTCTGTCTCTCAATATTCCACAAAAGCCTGAACTTTTTGTTGTCTCTCTGAAGTCCACAGACAGGCATCTTAAACTGCTGACAGAACTGACAATGCTGTAAATAGGTTCCTACACTAAAAAGTCAGTGAAAACTATTTTGATCAGCTGGTGTGACCTCCAGACTGACAGGTTGCACTGCTTTCCTCAATAGTCTGAGTTACTAAACAAACTGAAAATTTCATCTTGCTGAGGTCTATGTTGAAACTTGAGCTTAGTTTAGCTACTATTGCAAACACAGAGAAGCTGACTACCACTCCAAACCACATTAACTTTAAAGGCTTTGTTTTTGTGGATTCAGTCAATAAATGTATTAACAGTCAGCCACTGAGAATACTGCAACTAGTTGCTAAGAACAGTATCTCTAAACTCTTGCATGATGGCTGCAATTCTTAAGTCTGCTGCTGAGTCTATGAAGAAAATAATAATTCCCTGATTTTTGTGCTGCAATTGTATTGCACCCATAATAACAAAAATAAAACTCTCTTCACAGCCCTGCTTCAGTTTACATTAGAGAATAACCATATCTATTAGCTACCCAAAGTATCAAATGAAATCTAAAAGAGGTTGAATTTCCTTAGCTTTCACTTTAGCACTGCTGACATGTGGGGGCACAAGGACAGAAGGGTGTATGAGTCTCTGAAAATAAAACATATTTGCCACATTCTGCCCTTCTCATTTCAGACTGATCTGAACATGAAATTCTTTCTGAGGCCATTCTACAGATCTACAGAGACCATTTATGTAGCAGAGGAATATTTAACRTAAGTCAAATGTTAAGGTTTTTCTATAGCTGAGAAATTCTATAAAAAGAATATTCATATGAAGTCTATTCTGTGAAAGAATCTTGAAATTTTCTGAAGAGCCTATTTCATTCTAAAGAAAAACTTGACAATGTATGGCCTGATTATCAAGCATGCTTATCACTGGCAGCTCAAATGCTCTGCAATTTGCATTGTAGGCTATACCTGAAAATCCTGAATTTGACAAGTCCACGAGCACTGCTAAAGCTACTTGAAAGAGCTACCTGGAGAAATATTTCTCACAAAAATTATTAATTGCCTTTAGATATGGAATAGAAATTCATGACAGAAGTGTTTTGTTTGGTTGGTTAGGTGGGTTTTTTTTTTTAAGGAAATAAAAAGGATAAATGCCATGAGGTAAACCACACTGGACAGCTTTATGTGCATCAAATCTAAGTGCACTTCATTGTGTAAGCCTAAGCTATTCAAACGGTATTCTTCTGARGAATACTGCCTTCACTTTTTAATAGTTTTCTACTGATTGCTCCAAGTTTAGTGGAATTTTAAACATTTTAAGTACTTTGARACTGCAAATCCCAGAAAGAGCAATTCAATGAAAACTTATAATTATTCCGTGGTAAGCAGAAGGTAGAGCCAAAAACCTGCCTCCATATGCAATATTAAGAGAAGTGATAATTGTAGTCTGCCACCAGAGAGGCAAATAGAGGCAAGACTGATAAGATAAATGACATCAAACAGTCATAAAATCTGGCACTGAATAATTTTATGCCAGCTTCCAAGTTATTATTTAACAGACAGAGATATTGGAGTCACACTGCGGTTTGCTTTTTGTGTGCATTTTGAGTTATTTTGCCCTTCTGCATTAGTACACATTAGGTAAAAAACTGTCTCTAATATATCAGATGAAATGCACTTCGGGGAGAGCTTCCCTCTCCTCAGTCTGTTGACTGTTCGTTTAATCATAAAACGGTTGGACACAAGATCCAATCAACACCAGCACTCTGCTAGCAAATGACAAATCATTGCACTCCAGAAAATTATCCATCTTAGTGGCGCTGAGCTTGTGTGCCATGATTTACCGTGAATGAAATACCCTCACAATGCTCTATTGAAAATTGGACATTGGTTTTTAATAATGGCACACATTTCCTGATGTGATAAAGCAATTCAACAGGGTGGGTTCATTTGTAACAGAGGAAACAGCTGTGCTATCAGAGATCAGACCAGTGAATATAATATTGAAGTAATTTTTTACCCCACAGTAAAATGCCCACAAATTCCTCTTGAGGGGCAAGGCAACTTATAGCAATTGTTATTGCCAAGATCAGTTGACTTTATTCCATCTGCCTTACATGACTTCACTAAGGTAACATGACTTTACCTTAGTGAAAACAGAGAAAGACTCTAGATCAAGACCAACTAATACAGCATCAATACATACTTCCCTTSTTCACCTCTTGAGCTCTTTTGCAAAAGACATATGCAGTTTCTATCACACAGCTGTAAAGAACAGCTTGGTCATGTACAGGTGCTTTGCTCTAACTTTTCTTCTAGTGAATATTAAACCATATATCACAAACATTTTATGSTTTTGGGCAATTCACACAGTGCAGGAAACAGCTATTCATTACTGCAGAGACCTGCAATCTGGAAGCTGCATGGATAGTTATACTAATTAACATTTTGGAGCAGAATTCTGAGTAGCACTTGATACTCTACCTGAATCTAATGACATTCTTATTTTTCATACATTAAGCTATTCTATTATATAACTAGTTAATCCTCATATTCCAAAATTCTTTCTAGAAAGACATTATTAGGTATAAATATAATGAATATGGAAAAAAAGTGAATTTTACCTGCATTTTGTAGAAATCTATACCAGTCAAAAGTTTCACTTGGTGTAGTCTTAATTCCTGTGTTCAAAAAATAAAAAATATTTTACTGGTCACTGGATGGCTGAACTACTATTCTTGAAGTTTTATCCTGAGAAAACAATGTTTCTGTCAAGCAAACTGAATTCCAGACACGGCTGGTCCCATATCAAACTCCTCATCCAAGTTGCCTGGACTTTTCTGAAGTACTCAGGCTGATGATGAAGAACTTAAGACTCCTGCACAATCCCGTAGCATATGAACATCTGCAGTAACTCAGGGAATTATGCTCATTTACACCATGCTGAATTAGATCTTTTAAAAATCTAAATATAAGGGAATGCTATGCAAGCGAGCTTATTATTCCAAAACAGATACAAGTACAGAATTTGGTTTATTCTAATTATTCCAACAGATACTAGCAAAATGGATATGATTTATTCAAATTATTCCAAATAGAWACATCTCAGGTCAGATCCAAACATACAGGTACTAAGTAACAGAATTTAAACCAACTGAATGCCTTGGTCGCTCTTTCAAAACTCTCACCTTGAGTTTGGACATATATTTTCTTCCTAGCATCTGGCTTCAAAGAGAAAGAAGAAAAGTTACTTTCATAGTTCACTGCAAGAAATCTGTACAATTCATAAAAAAAAGAAAAATCTAATATATCAAAATGATCATCAGCATGATTTCCTCTTGGATATTAAGAAGCAAAACAGGCCTTTAGAAAGCAATATATTATTAAAGCCAAAAGTCATCAAAGTTAGCAATTCAAACTATATTTTCTATGAATATTTACAGTATCAGTGAATCAATTTTGCAAATAACACAATTACCAGTTTAACAGAAACTTCATATATATATATATATCCATATCATTTCTCAGAATCATTAACATGCTCATTGCACAGAAAAAGAAAATATTTCCGAAGATTTCTGGCTACGWGACAGTCTTAGTTACTAAAAATACTGGGTTTGACAGAAAAGCTATAATTGGTTTCAAAACCACAGGTTACATTTGAATGTAAAAGAATTTTCAGACACATCAGGCATGCAACAAACCCCACTTACCTCCAAGCTTTGCAAAGATTGCTGTCACATATATGTAGACTTGTCTATGCAGGAAAACTGGTCAGTAGCAGTTATTGCAGAATATTCTCAAATTAAATTGCACAGTGTATTATTTAAATATTTTTAAGCAGCAATAATAGAAGAGGGAAGTACTACACTTCAAAGGTTATTCCTGAAGTGTACTAGTATGCTACTCATTTAATTTATATGATTAAATAAGCACGTTCTTATTTCAATAACTTTCTATAATTGCAACTATGGAATATTTTTTTCTATTAAAGCATAGAAATATCTTCTTTTATCTTTCTGGATTTGCA